AAATAGTTTAAGCAAATTTGGTGAATTAAATTATTATTACGCATTTTCTTGATAGTTTTGTTTGGCTTCTTATGGAATAATCACCATATCGACGATCATATGACCAAATATGGCCATAATGTTATGTCAGGCCATATTATGTCAACTTACTGTTCCGACTGACGGCGGAAAGTTGATGAATGTGGAAGACGAAAGACCTCATTCTCTGGAAGGTATTGACGAAGGTCTATGTCCAACAGTGTACAAAGGCTAATGAAGATAGACTGTTTCATTCAGTCGTAAATAACAAAGTCGCCCATAATTATGGAATTGTAATAAACGAGCAACATCAAGTTTTAGCCATTAATGAAATTATAAATGCACAAGAATAAAGGTATGTCATACTAAAAGCTTTACATTAAACCCACACGAGATCACTCGAAGTAATTATCCTTGACTCTCTTGTTACCCGCAGTGTTAAAACATTAATGACCTAACCTAACCCAACCGCTTCAAGTGTTGGCAATTAACCGTATAATAATGAGATCACTTATTACGGTAATAAAGTCGAATTCATCCCATTGCTTAATGTTATGAATTAAGAAAAAATACACCGAAAAATTTAACAGTAGAGCCCGCAACATCTTCGCACGAATGAGCCGGCTCGTCCGGTGTAATACCACGACTACACAGAAGACAAACGTGAAGTGTGAGCAATTCCGCGTTTCGTCTGTTGTGTGTGGTGCCGGAGGCCTAATTAAGGCCCCTTTCCCTTATCATCCTCTTTTTATAAGTAAAGGATGCGAAAGGAGAGTTGATAATGGAGGAGATGCATAGAAAGGGGAAATATCCTCTTTATGTGCATCATCTGCTCCGTGGATTAAGGGTAGGCAACGCATCTGCAATTGCGGATGTCATTTTGGCGGATTCAGGTGGCCAAAAAACTGTTAAAAATTGCGACTTTGTTTTATACTATGTAGTTAGTTAATGTATTCGATTTCGTCGGTTGCTATGAAGTAATAAGATAGTCATGTTCTCGAAGAAAATTTATTACTACTATAGGATAAGAAGCAATAATCATAAAAGATATAGCCTTTGTGATTAAATTACATTTGCCATAAATCTTATGAGATTTTTCGGTAATATTGTTTTTCAGGAAATGTTTTCACAAATGATTTTAGTATTTCCTCCACTTGTAAGTGTATACTTTTGTATAAATGATTAATAGATTACTAGCTGTTTCCATGCGACTTCATCCGCATGGAATTATAAAAAATAAATTTATTGTTCACATTTGCCAAGTTATCAATTGCAAATGTCAAAATGACATGACATGATGTCAAACCATGGCAACCTTGCTTCCTTGATGTTGGCAACAACTTATGGTCTCTTTCCCACATTAGGGTTTTTATCCAAAATATTTACCCCTAAGTTTAACGGCGTGAAAATATATAGCCTAAAGCGTGACGTAAGTGTAGGGCTTTTTATTAAAAAAAGAGTTATTCGAAAATATGCTGTAATTGCTGACATCTTAGGCAACAAAGAAGTGTGTGTTTACGCTTTATTATATTAGTAGATATTATTATCTACCTTGAATGTATAGATTTTCGAATGCTTTTATATTAACTATACGCATTACTGATAGTAGAACATGTAAAGCGTCATATCTCTTTTGTAACTTCTGTCGCCTTTTTCGTTTCCCTTTTTAATCAATCGAAACGATTGCAAGCGGAATACTGAAACGACATGTCAATATTTAACAGCATCTTAAATGAAGGCCACGCTTAAATTCCAAATTCTGTTAAGATTTTGTTGATTCTTAGATTGTAAGCGGCGCTTACAAAGCGAAGAGTTTAATATTCGTTTCAATATGAGGCCGATAGAATGTAACTTTATTTATTGAATTTGAAATCTATACTTGTCAATTGTAATGTTAAATTTAACAATGTATTTATGGATTACTTACTAATGTTTCATATGCATAAGTTTACATGTTTGGCATAGATGTAGGCCATAATTTAGAACACATATACTATTTACTTTTTAAATTCTACATGGACAGAGATACGGGCGAAATATAGTAATAAAAAAAATTCTTTTGAAGTTTACATTTTTATTTACACGATATAAATATAAAACGGTTACTTACATCGATACAGTCGAGTAGAAAACATCCAAAGCCTTAAATCTAAGTAACAAAGAACATCAACATTTTCTTTTAAATAAACATTATAATTGTACCAAATGATTTGAAATGAATTTCTATTTTCTAAGTGTAATATAAAAGTTTAATTTAAATGTGAACACGAAAATAATCTATTGAGGTCAACGGGTTAATTGTCCTTAAAAATAATGGTGCAATATTTTCTGTATAAAGGGTATTGATATGAAGTCATTAATAAAATAACCTAATTCATATTGTTTCCTTACATTATTTAAAATATTAACTCCAACAAACAAATGGCAATCTTTGTTATTTCGTTCGTACTTCCAGTGTGATTCTTTGGTCAAGAAGTATTCATCTCTCCATTGGTACTTGACTAAGACTGTTTTTACTGGAACTGCACATTTAAACAAGAACAGCGCAAACTCCATATGCGTTAAAATAATGCCACTTATATACAAGTAAGATTATCACATCAATCCTTACTTAGTAAATTTTATAAATGTAGGTTTCCATTGTCAAAGCAACTGCACCATACATACAAGATATATAGATCTATCTTGTTCAATATCTTAGAAAACTGGCGGTAAATTTATTTCCCGAACTTTGGCAATATAAATCTACAATAAAACATTTTTATTATCGTATCTCTTATACAAAACGACGCTGGCGACGCGACGCTTAGACGCTGGCGCTCTCTCGTGTCGGAGGCCAAGACCTATTTCGGGTCGCTGCGCCAACGCAGTAAGTATATCTTATACAAGGAGAAAAGGTTTTACAAATCCTCTCTTATACACTAACATCAAATTTATCAAGTCAAACATCAATTATAATTTCCTTTAAAAATCTTAATAACTACATTAACGTTCAAACATTTAGAAAAGTTTAAATATCGTATAATAGTTTTAACTCTACTGTTCAAATAAACGGCGATAAATTTATAAACTAAGGTATAAAAATATGAAATAAAAGTCTGTATTACTTATTGTAAGCTGACATTATAAAGATGGATTTGTATTTTTTTACGTAAGCTATAAATGCAAAAACTACTGGACCGATTTTAAAACGTATTTCCATTAGTAAACTGATCAATGAGTAATGTAGAATGTGTCAATTCCATACGGATGAAGTCGCGGTCAAAATTAAGCTTTTAAAAGAAAGATAGAAAATCACTTTAAGAACATAAACAAATGCACAAACAGTAAAATGCGCCTTTTCTCTTTCTTTAAATTTAGATACAACATTTAATTTGCTTAAAAACACTTTAAACTACAAACATTTATTAAGAAACAAGACTTATGAAATCCTAATTTAATTTTACATTTATTTTTATTAAAATCAATGTTACATGCATTATATTTCTTCTTTATTTTATTTATCTGGTGTTTTAATCACATTTTAATAACAGTAAATAGTGCTTACAGCTATTTAATATATAGATATTCAGATAGAAAAATGGTTTGTACATGTTTTGAGCGTAGCATCCAGTATTATAATATGAAATCGCTTTTACAAAGTCGTTTTAAACCTAAACGTGCTAAGAAATAATAAATGCTATAATATGTGTGTTTGAATATGGCGTGGCTTTACAGTATTATATAAAGTTTTGAAATAACGGAATGTTTCGTTTGAATCTAGTAAATTTTATTATCGGTAGCCTAACCTTACAATTATGAAGTAACATGTAATAGTCGAATAGCTTAAGTTTATGATCAGCACATCAACATTTCAAAAATATGAATATTCATACAATGCAAATACGCCGATGAAATATTAGTAAACATAGTCTATATAATTTATCTAAACATTTAACATCAACACATTTATAAGTAACCAGAGAGCCAGCCCCTGAATCAATCATAAGAAATTACTTTCGTAGCTTGGTTACGACAGATTTGGTGTCGTATCAAAGCTATATAAAAATCTATTCTAGCTGTACTAGAAAACGGAGAAAAGCGCGTTTCTACCTCGAGTACTCCACCACTGGCCAGTGGCCGCGCTTAGAGGAGGTACTCTCATTGGTCGGGGCGGTCGAATGATGTATTCGGTGTGCTTTCTACTTTTTTCAATACTATTTTGAAGGCAAACGTGTGTTTTGGCGATACAGAGGCTGGGCGCGGTGTGGGCGGCGACCTCGGTGGGGGATCTGGTGGCATTTCCGAACGAGTACGCGATCGTCGCGGCGGATGGCTGATAGTTGGAACTGGTGCTGACGTAGGCTCCTTCGGTCTTTGCGGCGATAAACGATTTGGTGACAGTCGACCGGGGGAAGGGTCCGGAGTACTCGGTGGCAACATTAATGGCGGGAGGTTCGCGCATGGCGAGCCTCTCGAACCTCGACGTTCTTTCAAGCCCATCGGAGGAGGAGATGATGGTGTATCATCATCCGCCGCCGCGACCACAACAACTGGCTCGGCCCTAGCTAATGGTGCTTTAGGTTCACTCGGTTCTGAAGTAATGGACTTTCTAAAGTAATTCAACCCGTTTTCTATCTCGGCGAGCGCACGTCGTACGAAGGGAAAACTCTCGGACAACTCTGAAGTTGATTTTCTAACTGGAAATTCGGTTTCACTGTCACGCTTTCTCGGCTTACATCGTTCAAAAGTTGGGTCGCCCGAAGCTGCTACGGTTTCTGATACCTGTCGCGTCAGTGCAGCGTGTTTTATGGAGTCTGACTTTGATCTGGGCTCTCTGGTCTTTGGCGTTGGAGAACGTCGGTCTCCAAACTTCTTGCTGGCAGCGCGTTTGATAGAAGAGAAAAGACCGAGTTTCTCTGGGGGTTTTTCCGGAGCGATTGCAGTAGGTGGGGCGGTGGAAGGGCCAGGGACGGGTTCGGGCGCGGGATGGGGGGAGTTCCCCTCGCGTTAGTTGTGCCGAGAGTCGGAAGACGGAACATCGCTCGAGCCGGTGGAGGAGAGGGTGGTGTTGGAGCCATAGGGGTCGAGCGAGGACTGCACCGACATGGAGCGGCCCGCGCGTCGCACCCGCGCAGGGGACAGCTTGCCTGGGTCTACGCTGGCCGGGTCTGCCTGCAACAACAGCGTTCTTAGTATTGACTAATTCTGAAAAGAATCACGTTAAATCATGTCAATACATGGAATAAAATTTAACATGACAATCACACAAATAATGACGCACCTGATACGCCAGCGCATTCATAATGATGGAGTATGGTACCAGGCCGAGCGGGTGAACTTCTCGCATCAGGACGTTAGCCGGGATCTTGTGGAACTGAATATATTCCAGGAAGTTTCCAATCACATCTTTTAGGGACATGTTCTGGTTTGTGTCACAATATTTCTTGCTCCACATAAGAGCCGCCTGGAAACACAACATTAATATTTTTACTAAATATAACGAATTTCAATTTTAATGCTTATATATGCCCAGAGAAGTTAGAACGATATCACTATGAAATAACACGTAGGCAATCTTAATAATTGAACTCAAGGTGCAACATTAAAAACATGGAATGTGTACCTGGAATTTCGTGAACTCATCAGCTCTGAGTTCATCTCTGGCCAGAATAAGTCGCACAACATGCTGGGGCAGCAGTGTGAAGGATCCCAAGTTGAGTACATCATTGCCATGCTCATCAACAAACTCTAACACCTGGAATTAGAAAAAAAGAAATGTGATGGATTTTTCGTTACGTATTCTTGAGATTCTAGTCAGTTACCTATCGAATTTAATTTAAGTCTCAAACATATTGAAAAGGTTAATCATTAATTGTTCGATGAATTTAATAATACAAAATATTTCAAGATTTTACACGTGAAATGAGAATTCAAAACAGTTACAAGGTTACAGTTTCTATTAATAGACCATTGAATCAGTTTAAAATACGATAGTACAGTACAAAGAGAACGTTAATTAACGCTACCGATTGAAACCTAAGTTGAATTCAAGCTTTGGTATTAGCAACATAATAACAGTGTTTCCTTTCAACGCCTAACGTATTGTATATATTAACCCCAATATAATATTCAGTTGAAATTATTACAATTCATCATTACAGACATAACTGCTCTCTTGTGATTTAATTTCATTGTTAAAGTAAAATATGTAAATTGCTTTTTATATAATTATGCATCTTTAAAACGTTTTGGAGGAAAAGTTTAAAACAACTACGGCTATCTATTCTATGACAAATTCTCCAAGCAGAACTTTGTAACATAAACATTCATGGTAAAAAACTGTTTGTATTTTAACTTAGATCAAATGTAAATCTAGTGTGATGAGGTATCGTTTTGCTAATTAATGTTTAATTATTAACGTTATTAAAGTTTCTTTTTTATAACATAAGGTGGCAAACGAGCAAGCGGCCACCTGAATCCGCAAAAAAGGGGAAGCAACCGCTGCCCATAGACATCCGCAATTGCAGATGCGTTGCCTACCCTTATCCGACAGACGAGGAGATGCACATAAAGAGGATATTTCCCCTTCCCATGCATCTCCTCTACCGTCAAATCCACTTCCCGTTCCCATCCTCTCCTTATAAGAAAAGGGCGGTAAAGAGAAAAGGACTTAAATTAGGCCTCCGGCACCACACTAATCAGACGAAACACGGAATTGCTTCGATTTCATGCCTGTCTTCAGTGTGGTCGTGGTATTAAACTGGGCGAGCCGGCTCATTCTTGCTAAGATGTTAAAGTGGGCACTACCACTTTTAAATGTTATTAAAGTACTAACTTATCATATTACAAATTATGGCAATACCTTTTGAACCAACGATTTGGTACACTTGTACTGTATGTACCGCTCAGCAGACGCAAGGAGAGCACACACTGTATCCACAGTGATGCAGCACTGCACGAAGCCCGCGCACGCTCGACGCAACTCATCCAGTCCGTAGTAATCAGCCGCGTTCATAACACCTACGATTATAGAATTTAATTATATTAACATAAGGTTTATAGTTCAATGGATAGTTCGTATGTAGAAATAAATCGATTGTGAGTAGCCGTTCGTACTTAGTTTTTAGAATCGAATTAAGGTAATTGCACCTGTAATTGATACTGTATAGGGGAAAAAACGGGTGATATTTATCCCAATAAATTTTAAATTTAGTTCATTTAATTTTTTTTCCCAAAAGGCATACCATTTTGTGTCTTATTTAGATTCTTTAAACACATATTAAGATATTACCATAAGAATGCAGAACATTTTTGTTAGTATTTAATTATTCTCATACAACTTATAAAATAAAAAAAAGCAATAAAAAAAGTCTCTTGACGAAAATGTAAAATAAGGGACAAAATTGAATATGCATATTTCAAATAGGTTTTATAGGTCATTATTGAGGCGGTGAAGGGAAAATCTATTTACGTGCCGTCATTTTACTACGACGCTAATACAATTACTCTCGTTGCGGTGGAATAAAGGCATCGGGCTTTTATAACAATTTATGCGGAACATTTTTCCATCGATGAACGATTTTTTCCCGTGGTTAGTGAGGCATGATCTGGCAAAAAACAAATTTCATCACCATCTCCAGCTCATTTACGTCCCTACTGAGAGGTTCGGAGCCTACCCCAATAAAGGGATGACTAAGCCATAGTCAACGACGCTGGCCCAGTGCAAATTGGTTAATTTCACACATACATGTCTTTGAATTTCTTCGGTCAAATGTGCAGGTTGCCTCACGATGTTTTCTTTCGCCGTAAGAACGTCTAAGCCAACGAATTTCATTTTAACCAAATTTATTACAGTAGATTACCATTGCTAATACTTTGAAAGGTTTAAACCACTAAAAGAAATTTTCTTCTCATTCTAAGTCAAAAATTACTTGTCAAAAGAACAGTTTCATTTTAATAGTTACATATACGTTTATCTTTCCTTTTATGTTTCTGTTTTTTTTTAAATCTTAGATAACATTAAAAGTAATTTAAAGTATGAAAGCATACAAACCTAGTAATGTTCGTGGCTGAAGTGTGACGCATCCAGTGTGAATGTATTCGATCAGTTGACGGAAAACGTCCGGCTCGAATTCTTCTATAATCAACGTCTGGTGCTGCTGGGAAGACGGCTAAGAAACAAAATTCAAAATATTTATACATCTATTATCAAAAACAAGACCAATCCAAAGAAAACAGTCTTCGTCGGATTGTTTAAAATGTCCGAAGTCGTTAAAGAAAACAAATGAAAATCGACTTTTTATCACTGCAACTGTACAAAGCATTGAAAACGCAAACCAAAATTGTGATATAATTTACAAAATGTATCTGCAGTGTTGTCTTAAAAATTTGGAGCGTTAAAATACAGCAGTAATAATACTAAATGTGCAGATTAAATTTAATACAGAACTATATCTGCTAGAAAAAGATTTAGTAAATTGTAAAGCTAAAAAATTACTTAATAAAGAAGAGAATTATAACCAAGGGAAAGCTTAAAATATTCTTCACAAATTTGTTACAACTTAATGTTAGAATAAATTTAGAATCATGAATTATCATGCGTTATGAATTTAATTTTAAAATATGTAAGTAAGTTAAAAGTACAACATCTAATAGTAACTTAACAGTATGTGTTAAAATTCATGCAAATTCAACTTCAACAATAAATGCTCGATATATGCAGACTATTTATCCTAACTACAAAATACTGTATTAATAAAAATCGATATTAATGTAGAAGATATCGTCTCGAAAACCTACGACACCGGTAATTTTGCTTTTACCTCTTGTATTGGAGCCAATTGCTGCGCGAAAGTCGATCTCTGCAGTGAAAATAGCAAGAATAATAATATTGTAGTCCTAGCAAACATAAATATAGGTTTTTAACATAGATTTACAAAAAATATGCAATAAATTAAAAATAAAATTTAGAAATATCTTTGGAAATGAAGTTAAAAACCTACAGATCCTTGACGCTTTGTTAAACTTTAAAATCAACAGTTACAATTTAAAGAAAATTGGTAGATTTAGATTTTTATGTCATGTTATGGTTTACTTTACAATATGAGATAGTGATCATACGGTTACTACTATTTCTAAATCGATCTATTTAATTCTACAATTATATTTCTAGTTTTTTTAATCTATTGTCTACATATAACGTGCTTTATCCAGAAACTTGGAGATTTTTAGTTTTATTTAAAATCTCTGAAACATGTCTCAAACAATCAAGTGCAATCTTTGAGAAGTTTCACGATTTAATTTTGATATCCTGACTTATGTTATGCTTCAGGATATATGATTATATCTAATGCCTACAGAAATTCATTGACCAAAACATATACAGGATGTGGAAATTTATTTCCTCTCGTACCTACTGCGTAATATTTGCCTAAACCCTTAAACGCATTGGTCCGTTGTAAATATTCTGGCGAGCATATAATCGATTATACACGCTAGACGCTATTTAGGTTATAACATCCTCTACATACGGGATAGTATCATTTTTGATTTTGTCTTCTTTAAAATGAAGTACAGCTAAAACTGACTGTGGTTTTCAACTGTGAAGCACTGGAATTATGTGTTCATCTTTTTCATTACCTTTGTAACAAACAGAGCAATATGTGCAAGTATCACATCAATAAAATTTTACGACAATAATTCGACGTTCAATTCATATGCTTATTCTTCACGAAATAAAATGATTATCTCACCTGTTGCGCGGCATTCTGCAGATTCAACAATGGCTCGGATGATCTTTTGAGAAAAAGGCGTAGTTTGTTTTCACGTGGCGCCGGTTCCTTCTTTCTTTGAGGGCTTGGTGCTTGATAAAGCATTTTTTGAAACACTCTGAAAAAATGTAAAACGTATTTAAATATTTTTCCACATGTTTGATGTCGTTTTTTTCTCGATTATTTATTTACTTTCAACAAATTATTCTGACTTAATTTGTTTTTAAAATGTTCATCATACCTGCTTCTTGATGCCAGAACAGCTTTTACGGCACACACTGGTTCTCTCGTGTCGCCTACAAGGAACGTGACGTCACACAGTTCCGGCATCGAAGCCAAGAACTTCATGTCTTCGGCTAGACCCGACTTGTTCTCGAAAGTACTGAGGTCCGGCTCTGCCTCCATTGCTGCAAGCGCTCCGCTTCTCATTGACGCCTGTTGATAATCGACAATCGGTATTATTTATTTTTTTAATCTGAGCTCAATTTTTCTAAACATTGCTGGAGAACAATAGAGTTGAGATTTTATTTTTATTTTTTTCTTAATAGAAGATAGTAGGATTTTTTAAAAAGAAAACGTTTTAAAAGAAAAGGTTTAATAATTGAATAATTACAGAGTAATTTTTTTAACCGAAACTTTTTTGTCCGTGTCAAAAATACTAAACTTTAAAGCCTAATTAATGAATAGAAATTCGAATACTAAATGTTAAAAATCACTCACTTCATCTAAACTGAAATGCCTAGTAACAAATAAATCCATTTTTTTATTTTCCTGAGAGCTGAATGGCAAATTCGTTCGCTTGCGGCGACGTTAAACCGGCGACTGTCAGGAGAGAGGAAATTAAAGGGATGCCAGACTTTCCGTAAAGCAAATAGCGTGTGGCCCAAACTCATGGAAATACACGACACATTTTTTGCTTTTTTATTACCAAGTAACGGTAATATTAATGGTGACATTTTTTTGGACATATTTGAGAAATTATAAGATTTGTACATGAAATTTAAACAGATCATAATATTCTGACTGGTACTATTTTAATTAAGTAATCTATGCTAATATTATGAAGAGGAAAGATTTTAACATTATAATGAAGGAAGATTTGTATGTATGTATTGAAATTACACAAAAACTACTGGGCCGATTTCAAAAATTCTTTCACCGTTAGAAAGGTTATTTATCTGTTAGTAACAAAGGCAAAATTTTTTATTATTTTTTCATTTAACGTGGACATAGTCGCGAGCAACAGCTAGTATTTTGATTTATTGACAAAAGAAATAAAATATCAATTAAACATATTGTGGACGTTAGAAACGTAACTGCAATTGACTTAAAAATCTGTCTTTTAACAAATCGTCCCTTTCGTCCGACGGATTAACCACTCCTAATTCCAATTTAGGGAGTAAATTTAAACGTTTCTAAGACTATCAAATTCCATTTAAGCTTTTAAAATGATGTCGGCGAATGTTGCCAAAAAACCGACTCTAAATTTATTCTTATTTTTGAAGGCACACTTGAATTTTTTATTTACGATGAGAGGCTTCGGCGAAATTGGATACTTAAATTACATCGTATAATGTTTTCTAGCATCAAAATTTAACGACTAACATAAATCGCTCCAGTTTTAGAATGGGCACACTCTGATGACATTGTTCGATAAATTGAAATACGCGTTCGTGCGAATGGCAAACAGTACATAACTAATAACAAATTGTTATTAGTACAATGTTGAATTTAAATTTCGTTGGTAAAGTATAATTTTACTAATACTATAAATGCTAAAGTTTAGATGGACAGATGTTCGTTAGAGTTAGCCTAAACGGTTTAACGGATCATGGTCAGATTTGGCGTAGATGTACAGGATAGTCTGAAAGAATACATAGGCTTGCTCTTGTTTTTGTTAATTCTACGCAGACAGAGTCGTGGGCGAAAGCTAATCTTGAAAATAAAACGATAATCTTACTTTTTACTAATATAAATAAGTGTAGATGGATAGATGGATAGATATTTGTTAGAAATTATTTCCTAAACAGCCCAACCGATCTTAGAAATGGCATGAAATTTACCACAGATGTAGAACATAGTTTGAAGGAACATGCAGGTTACTTAGGAAGTTTTTTTTTAATTCCACTCGTAAGTATCCGCTGTTAAAAACAGTAATAAAATAAGCAGCAGACATAACATTATCGCTTCTTATGATAGAAAGCTGGTTGCTAAAAAATGATTGTTTTTTTTAATGTATTAGTCTGCAAACTTTAACATAGAGTTTCTAAAGCCAATTGATTAGTTCCCCATTAACTCATCCCGTTGGCCGTAATACGATTCGCAAGCATTGACCTGAAAGCGATCCCGACTCCGGACATATTGATTTTATATCTGTACTGCAAACATTAATGAATGAACAAGCTTGTTGCTAACCGACAAGTATGAACAGGGCGTTATATTAAGAGCGCGCACACCTTAAACTAAACTATCGCACAACTGTTTAGTCGCGCTTCATTCCTATGAGCTTATATGGAAATGCGCACATTACTTTTAGATGAGCAACTAACAAATTGGCTGCGAAACAATCGACAATCGCCTTACAGTTGTGATATAGCTTAGTCAAAGGTGTACGACCACTCTAAAGTTATCTTAAGTTTTATAAATGAGTAGGGAAGGATGTTTGTTACTAAATATTTCCATTACAGCTTATCTGATATCAAACATATTTAGAACAATAATTAATTACAATATTAATTGCATGTAAAGTCGCTGGCAACAATAGTTTTAAATAAAAAAACTCAATTTTATTTAACACGTGAATATTACTAGAAGATTATAAACACAGACATGTTCGTGTACACGTAATTCATCGGAAATTCGGCAACTTTACGAGAGACAAATATTCCACCCACGCAAAACGTCTAGAGTAACGCCCACGTAAAATCTTAACATTTACATACAAAATGTAATATATACCTACCTGTTGATGATCTTCAAATGAAAGCGAAGTATTAAAGCCTTATTAAATCTATAAGAACTAAGAATCTAATCGAATATTAAAATCACAACAATAACAATTATACGAATAATTTCAAAACACTGTTTAGAATTACAACGTGCTTGGTTGATATTTAATATGCAACTACTGCATTTAATATTCAAGTTATAAGGACATTATTAAAGCATGACAGATTCAGATGAGACTACACATTGTACACAACTAGATGGCGCTACTGCGCATGCGTGGAACTAAAACGCATGCGCGAAATTTATATCAATATAATACCGTAGATACAGAAGGTCGTCAGGCATTTTCAATGGACGAAGGTGAAATCTATGAATGAATTGATAAGGGAAAGCTTTATTTCCTATAACTAGAAGTAGGAACTTAACTTATATATTCACAACCGGTTAAACTCATATTAAGGAAGAAATATTCAATCACGCGGCATTCTTTATAACGCGAAACAAATGCCTACCCAATAATAATACTTCTAATTAAAACATGACATCATTCGGTTTCGTCTGGCGTCAGCTCCAATGAGAAAGATAAATAAATAAATTGATTTAATATTTGAATCAATAAAGCCGATAAGTCCGAATCATTTTATTACTATTTTACTAGGCTGTGGTAACTTTTAAACACATAATTATAGAAAAAAACTTATCACCATGACATCTAGCAGCAAGTCTGAGTGCTACGCATCATCTACGCAATTGCTACGAATAGCTACAAAAGGTTACGTGCCGACCGTGCAGTAAAACTTATTGATTCTCGCGTTTTATAACAGATGGCGGTGTTATCAATCGACCCTGATTATTGTAATGTATTTATTTTCTGATTAGATTAATATATTGGATTGGATATTGATATTGGATATCTTTCTTTAGAGAGAAAATAGATATAACATTTTTAAACATTTATTTACATTTTTCGTTGTACCGCAAATCGTTTTTTTTTTATAACATAAGGTGGCAAACGAGCAAGCGGCCACCTGAATCCGCCAAAATGGTGAAGCGACCGCTGCCCATAGACATCCGCAATTGCAGATGCGTTGCCTACCCTTATCCGACAGAGGAGGAGACGCACATAAAGAGGATATCTCCCCTTCCTATGTATCTCCTCCTCCGTTAAATCCACTTCCTCTTCCCATCCTCTCCTTATAAGAAAAGGGTGGTAAACAGAAAAGGACTTAAATTAGGCCTCCGGCACCACACTCATCAGACGAAACACGGAATTGCTTCCATTTCACGCCTGTCTTCTGTGTGGTTGTGGTATTACACCGGGCGTGTCGGCCTATTGATGCTAAGATGTTAAAGCGGGCACTACCACTGTAAAATCGTATAATTATCATGATTTTCTAAAAATATTGCAGTCAGTTACATGACAGACATTTTTAATTTTGATAATAGTAAAAATGAAAGTTAACTTTAGTCAAAAATGATTTCTAATGACTTTCGACTCCTTCCAATAATCAAACTATATGGTATGGAAATGACGTGTAGATGTTCAATTATTTTAGTGCTACCTGACATGAAGATAAATTTAGGGTCGCCGTAAATAGATGCCATGTCTATTCGGCCAAAGGATTTCGCCAAAAGATGGATTATCGTCCAAACTAAGATTAATTACATTGGGTTATAATGTAAACGTGAACTATTAAGAAATTAGACGAAGGTTTAACGCAAAGCCATGTTTTATAAGAATTTTAACTCTTTTATTAAGATCTCATGTTCTATTCTAAAGTTGAATTTGTTCCTCCTTATGTTGTTTGTTGCTCCTGTTATATTTAGAGTTCCTGGATAGATAAAATATAATGCTTATGTTGTTTTCATATCCTAATCATTTGTTTTTTAATAGTCAAAAATTTCTTAATTCAAACTTACAATGTTTGTATTTTATATAAATCTATACTATTATAATAAAGCGTAAACACACACTTCTTTGTTGCCTAAGATGTCAGCAATTACAGCATATTTTTGAATAATTATTTTTTTAATAAAATGCCTTACACTTGCGTAACGCTTTAGGCTATATATTTTAACGCCATTAAACTTAGGGGGTAAAAATTTTGGATAAAAACCTTAATGTGGAAAAGAGACCATAAGATGCTGCCACCATCCACGAAGTAAGGTTGTCATCATGTCATGTCATTTTGACATTCGTAATTGATAATTTGACAAATGTAAACAATAAAATAAAATTTTCATTATTTCCTTCGGATGAAATCGCACGGGAACAGCTAGTTTAAAATAACGTGTAAAGGGTTTAAAGAGGCGAATGAGAATTTATTACTTACAAAATTTATTTAATTTCACCAAGTTTGCAAATTTCATTCAGCCCCCATCAGCCACGGCTAACTTCTGTATCCATTCAAAGACGTTCATTAAGCCTTATTTATTGTGGATTTAATTATTCTTGCTAAGGACATTATGGAGGGTCCTAGCCACCTTAATAAACTTAATGGAGGTTTAAGAGTATAATAAGAATTGAACTAACTGATAACACTTGCATTTTCTCAGTTTATACATAAAAAAAAACTCAAAAGTGTTTGAAAAAGTTTAAACGCAATCATACTAATATTATATATGCGAAAGTTTAGATGGATGAATGTTTCTTAGAGTTTGTAGACTAAACGGGTTAATGTATTTTGTTGATATTTGGTATATATGTAGAGGAAATCTGGAAGAACACATAGGCTACACATTTTTTTTATTTAATTTCACGTTGACGGAGTCGCTGGCAAAAGCTAGTTATTATCATAATTCTTCATCAT